CTAGGGCCCCAAGGATCTAGTCTGTCCAATAGGAGGAATAGGATGTGGCACACCCATGAACTGTTGAAAGGAAGGCGTGTTCCTTTGGATGCCTACTTCTACCTACGGTAATTGAGTCGCTGCTGGATGGCGCGAGCGGGGGCGCAGCGCGTCCGGGGAGCGCTGCGCCCCGCTGTTACGACCTCACCGACGAGAGATGGAGTAGCGGGCAGACATGGCGCGATTATGCCAGGTGTGGTTGAGCGGTAACACGTGGCGATGTTGGGCGCCGCTGGGCATAGAGGTGGCTATGATAGGTGCTCAACGATGCAGAGAGTCAGCGCTGTTACTGCTGTTGTAGGACGTACTCTCTATCTCCTAACACTTGAAAGCACTTGTAGTGCCATCTCACTGTTTGTTGTCTCTCACGGGGATGCTGCGGGTTAGCATGCCGTGTGAGGCGGGGTAAGGCTCTCTACTGGGTCTTGCATCGGGAGGAATCACTTGTGCTCTTCTTCTTGCACAATTTGGTGGAGGAGGTCGGCCAGGAGCAAGAGGGAGAGGAGCGTTGTGTGCCCCACGAGATGGGAGGAGGAGTGAAGGGGGATAAGGAGTGGAGTGTTTGAGATTGTCTTCGTCTTCGCGACATACAAGCAGTAGTATCAAGCAACAGGGAGAGGTCGTTTATCTGCAGCAATGAGCTACAACGACAGGTATCATCGTTCGGGAGTTATTCGCCATCTTCATCGTCTTTATCAGCATCAACAGGGTAGGTTTCAATTTTAACACCAGGTTTAGGGGGGCTGCGCGACACTCATCGTTAAAATTTTATCATCGGCGCTGCTCGCCCCTTTCAGTATCATCACCATCATCATCATATGGTCATCAGCACTAGCAGCATCTTGAGTTAGCGTTGGGTGATGGGCGCGATCATCATCATAGCCATTATCATCTTAATCATCACTACCATTATCAGCATCATTTTATCAGCATCATCATCATTACCAATATCATCATTCATCATCATCAATATCACTATCAGATTCATCATCATTGACATCATTTAGAAATTTCACTCTAACATCATCTGTTCTGAATCGTTAGCATATTTGCAGGAATCATCACGATAATTACGTAATTTTGTTCCTTGACTATACTCTTTAATAAATCCCGAGGTTTTCTTTGAATTTCACTATCATAGCTTAAATCCTGATAGGTTTTCCGATAACTACTTTCTGCTATCTAAATTGGTGGGAGTAGTCATCTACTCATTGGGCGCAAGGGAAAGGGGAATAATTGTAATAATCTTTACTGCTGCCCTGCGCCCTTTTCAACGGTTTTTTTTCATAAAATTCCGAGTTTATTCCTGGGCTGGATAGATTATTTTAGAAGGGTAGAACTGGGAGAGTGTGGTGGATAGGGAGCGCTATCCAGCAGGGGATTCACAAGGAGGGGGGTGAATGTCTCGAAGAGGGTAGAAACGGAGTTGGGGGTTTGTCCTATTTTTGGGGTTGGGGTGGTGGGAGGGGTCCACATTGTCCTCAGTGGAGGCAAAAACGGGCAAGGGGCGGCGAGGGCATGTTTTAGGAGGGAACTCCATGTCCTCGGGGACAGGGGTGGAGGGGGTTGGTCCTATATTGGGGCCGAGGGAGAGCGGGACGCTCGCCTCGGCGGGGGCAGTGTAGGGCTGAGGGGGTAGGGGGAGGGAGGGATGATGTTCTTTTGAAGATTTCTGATCTTCCAACCCAGTAATTTATTGTTCGCCTCTCGAGTCTGACATGTCATCTTTGATCCTGCGTAGGGTGGCCGAAAATTCGGTGGCCGTTGAAGACCGATGCTGGAGCAACGATGGCCGGAGCCGGAGCCAGGTGGCACAACTCTGTGACCTAGCTTAGTAGGGGCGTGAGGCCTGGTAGAGAGATCTGGAGGGTTGTTTGCGGGGGCAATCTCAATGGTCATCAGGGGTCGTAACTGAAGCAATGTTGGTCGGTGCTGGAGCAAGTTCGTGCAACACTGTAACCCAGCCTGATGGGAGCATGAGGCCTGAAAGAGCTTCGGTCCGTGCTGAAAACGGTCATGCTGGTGATGGTCAAAGGTGGATTGAAAAGGTTTTACCTATTTGATTCGTGGTGGGGAGGCTTGTTGATGCACAATTTCTGAATGTTTCTAAGTTTTCACCATCTTCATTAGTATCATCATTAGTATCATTTTTTTTCTGGTGTTCTGGATTTTTATCAGCATCTAGCCTTTGTACACATCTGGGGTATAAGAGTTCAGAGATGATCGAACCCAGACTGATATCCGTAGAGTTGCTCTGTTCTGTACCTCTGGTTTGCCGATGCCAGAACGACGCTGGTTGGAGCTGGGGTGTTGCCCTGTAACCTGCAAATTGCAGGAGTGTAAGGCCTTGTAGAGAGATCTGGGGTTTGCCGAGGGAGGAAGGCAATCCAGTGGTGAACCGGGGGGGGGTTGCTAGGTGGCGAGAAAAATTCAGCAATGGGTGACGTTGGTTAGGGGGGTATTGTCTCTGAGTTACTGTGTCCTGGTACAGGGAAGGATATGAGTTACTCTAGGTTTGGAAAACCATAATAGGTGATATAGCATAGCCTACTAATCAATTTTTATAAATTCTAATCATCATCATCATCATTAGTAGCAACATCATTAGTATCATCATCCACTCGCGGTTAACAACCACCTGAAATTTCAGAATGAAAGATTCTGAAGTGCTCTGAAACCGATGAAATGACCTGAAGACACTTCAGGTCATTTCAAAAGTTTCGGGTGGTTTGCAGGACAAGTTTTATGTGTTTTTTTGTTTTTTTTTTTTGCCTGTTTTTTCAGCCACTTCAGGTCATTTCAGGAATCTAAGGTGGGGACCTGAAACCGCTGAAGTGGCTGAAATGTCTGAATGCGGTTTCAGGTACCCCCATCCAAATGGTTGGATAGGGGTACCTGAAACCCCTTTCAGAAGCTTCAGCCACTTCATGATATTTAAGGAATTTCAGGTGGGAACCTGAAACTGCTGAAGTGGCTAAAGCTTCTGAAAGGGGTTTCAGGTACTTCCATCCAAATGGTTGGATGGGGATACCTGAAACCCCTTTCAAAAGCTTCAGCCACTTCAGTTCATTTCAGGAATTTCAAGTGGGGACCTGAAACCGTTGAAGTGGCTGACGCTTCAAAAAGGGGTTTCAGGTACCCCCCTCCCACCATTTGCAATGGATCAACCTGAAGTTGCTGAACTGCCTGAAGGCGGTTTCAGACAACCCCATGTATAGATCTACACACAATCCAAAAGTGTAGTAACCTAAAGTGGCTGAACTGCCTGAAATGAGACATGAAAATATATGCACCCGTTAACCATCTCTCTCATCATCAGGATCATCATCATCACTGTATGAGGGACGCTGAGCCCGATTCTCAACAAGTTTGGTTCGGTCACTCCGGGCAGACTGTGAGGACCTCGACCTCAATATTTTCATTGGTAATATCAGCCTTGGGCACTGGACCCTTATTTCCAAAAAAAAAAAAAGAAAAAAAAAAAAAGAACTGTTGAAAGGATGACCTGAGTTGGATTCCTAATGACACCAGATGAATGAAATGAAATAAGAAGATTATTCAACATTTTTTTCCCGCCTTTTGGCCTTTTGGCGTCACACAGTTGTAGAAAACTAAACTACAGGGCGCATGTGGGCCAGGACCC